CCTTGGAGGTCCTCTAGTCCAACCCCCTGCTCAAGCAGACCCTATACCATCTCACACAAATGATTTAGAATAGCATAGAACAGAGTTGGAAGGGACCTTCTCTGTTCCTCCCTGAATGCCCTAGGATGAAGAGGGGGTGGGCCTGGATCTTCCTCCAAATGCCCTCTCCCTTGTTCTACCTCTTCCCTGCTCTGCCCAGCCAGACTTTGCCCTTCCCTAGTTTCTTCCACAGCCAATGGAGCCACACTCCCACTCACTGTCAGCTTCTTGGCCTCCCCCTCTCAATCAGATTCTGACAGGGGCATGACAGGCAACTGGACTTCCTGGTTTTTCTTTGAAGACGTTTCACTCCTCATCCAAGAAGCTTCTTCAGCTCTGACTTAGATGGTGGGGAATGGGGAAATAAAAGCACCTTTGGGACAACCATGATCTGGATGACTGAGAACTCCACATACCTCTAGCTTAGAAACTTCAATATCAGAACGAGTGGATACAAATAAAATATGATTAAAACATGCATCATAAATGCTACAGCTACAGCCAGTGGTTAAACCTGCTATAATCAAAGGGAGACCATTTATTTCCATAATTTACTTTCAGATGAATTTATCCCCTTTAAATAATACAGACCTTGATTTATTCTTTAATATCCAAATGTGTGTCACTCCATTTGTTAATTTAACAGTGACATAAAATTTAGGCTAACAATTAGGCTGGAATGATTTAGTAACTTCCTTGAACCATTCCTATCACCATTTAATGGGTTGGTAACAAAGTGGAAAAGTTTAATGTATTCCAGAAAAGGCAGACGACTCTGTAAAGTATTTTGTTGCTGTGGCACTGTTCCCTGTTTATTAAAACAATATATTATTGTAGGATTATGAAAATAAAAGAATCAAGAGTCATATCACAAGTTTATTGGCTCCCCGTTCTTAAAAGATCACCCCAAAACAAAGCAATAGAAAGTCAAGGAAATTAAATTCTATCAATTACTATTCTTTTTCAGCGGTTAGAAAGTTTAAAGTTTAATTGATTAATAAAATAACAACAGCAGAGAAAAAACATGTATACTTAATACCTCTTGGGATAGGAAGAAGCAGAGATGCCTGACTGGAAAAATATTTTTTTTTTAATTATTCAGAATGTTAAAAGGCAAATTCCCCCCACCCCAACCCCTCAAAAAGGAGGGGGAGAAAATTGAACATAAAGCAAAACTAGTCAGGACCAAAATTATATAAATCTGCATAAAAAGGAAAAAAACTCAAAACATATCACAAACTGTCTCCCCTATTTGAACACAGGTAGTCCTTGACTTAAAACTAAAACTGAGCCCCAATATTCTGTTGCTAAGTGAAACAGTTGTTAAGTGAGCCCATTTTTAAGACGAGCTTCCCAACCGTTTCTATACTCCGCATCCCTAGAATGCTTCTGATGTATTCTTGCACCCCTTACAAAAGTAAATAATTATAGGCATATAATTATGCATATGCACTATAATTTTGAAACTTCTAAACCCAAATTTTCACACCCCTTGGAATATCGTATCACCCTCCTCAGGGGGAGGGAACTCCTGTTCTAGAGTCTCAACATCTTTTTAACATCGTAGTGACCCAAACTGGATGCAGGATTCCAAGTGTGGCCTTACCAAGGCCTTATAAAGTGGTATTAACACTTCACGTGATCCCAGTTCTATCCCTCTGTTCATGCAGCCTAGGACTGTGTTGGCTTTTGTGGCAGCTGCAGCACATCGGCTGGCTCATATTTAAGTGACTAGCAGGATACCCATGCTTCGCGATGGAATTATGTGATTGGGCTACGCAGGAGAAATTTGGTTCACAATTCGTTGGTTCAGTGGTGGCCGGTGACTGAAACACATAAGAGGATACCACTCCCACCGCCTTGAGTCCGGAAGCAGTTCCAGAGGTGGAAAGCGTAGACATTTTGGTGAGGTGCCAACGTTTAGTACTGTAAGGAGCCCCAGGCCACTCCTGAGTGAGGGAGTAGAACATCTAACAGTTTGAACTGAGGTAACGGAATGTGAGGCACTGGCAGTTGGAACAGAGTTCTTTTTCAGGTGGGGACGGGGAGTAGAATTCCTTAGCATCAGAGCATGTTAATTACTGTATAAGAAATACTAATGAAATACTAATGATCCGATGGTCATTTTGAAAAATCCTTTCTTAGCGAGCACCTAGAACCCAAGAGGAAAATACGTACCAAATTTCAAGTTTGTAGGCTTTACAATTCTGGAGATTTTGCGATGAGTGAGTGGTACTTGGATTTTATATCTATAGATTGTCCACTAGGACTCCAAGATCTCTCTCTCTCTGTTACTACTATTGAGTGAGGTGTTGGTGGCCGGTTATTAATTCATTGACTGGTTGTTTCTTTGTGCCACACTCTTGGCTCCTAAGTACCACCAGAAGACCAGGGGGGCTGGTAAATCAACACTCCTCTTGACTGACCCATGTCCCAGGTTTCAATTTCGGTCCCAACTCAAGACTGGATCCTGCAACAATTCCCAGGAGCCCTGACCATTGGAACGATGTTGAGATTTGCAGTTCATCAACCGCTGGAAAGCCAGGAATTTCTCTCCTGGGTTCAGCCTCTTTAGAAAAACATATGGCCATATGGATCCGATGGGGGCAAATATCGCCATTCTTGCTTTTCCCTTTAATTGGGCAAAGCTTGAGGGAATTTAATCAAATTAAACCAGATGAGAAGCGATAACCTTCCATTCGTTACCATGGCAACCCTCATTTGTCCCGTTAAATATTGCTAAATGAATAACCAAGTAATGAACACTGAGTATTCCCTCTGAAATGGAGCAAATCATCTGGGATGTTTGTATTTTCTCTTCTCTTTCAGATAATACCCATGTACACAAAATTAAATCCTTGTTTGACACTCATCTAGTTCCTGGATTATTTTAACTCTGTATTTTCTATTTTTCTGCCTCAAAGTTTCATTGTTATAATCGTGATGAGGCCCACAAATCATACAATCAAATGAACAATTTGATTTTTAAAAAATTTAGCCAACATTGACACGTATATATTTTATTCGGAGTTTATCTAATGAAGATGTTTATGTATATAAATCCGAAATGATTTGAGGTGAGAGGCTCAGTTTATCGACCTTACTTTGAACAGAAAATTAAAATTAGGCCATTTTGTGCCTGAAATATTATTTGATGTAACATTTATACACTCTGAACTAGCACCAAATGAAAACTTTTAAGCTCTCTTTTTTAAGATTCTCTAGAATTAATTTGAAACTATTTTATGGTTAGGGAAAGGTTGACATCTAGTGGTAGTTCATATTATTACAGCTTTTCAAAAATGCAATTTAATTAAGACAATAATAACAGTAATGAACCATGGCAGCTGTGTTGCTTCTACAATAGCTACAATCGTTTATCAATATTGTTAGACAATAGTGGCTTCTATAACTTTCTAGATCCCGCATAAAATTGAAAATAGATTTAGAACTGTATAGAGTGAACCTTCAAATCCAGAAGTAGATTTCTCAACTAAATCATCTAATATCATCCCTTGGCTTAGGCAGATTTTCCTCTATTCTTTTATTTCAGATTATACTTGTCAACGTTTTGCTTATTTAAAATTTTGGTGGTCCACAGAAAAATGTCCCCCCCCCCCAAAAGCAATTAATCCAGGCTGCACAGGAACACAAAGCTGTGCCACCCACATGGCCTGCGGGAACACAAAGCTTGTGTTGTTTGCATTGCGAACTACACGAGGTAGTGAGGGGAGGGGGGGAAAGGGCAAAGGGGGGGAACTTGTCCCACTCACCCCATGTGCCTGGCCTGGCCACCGGGCGACTTTTTCCCCGCTTCTTTTTTCTTCTGCTTTTGGGTGCACGCAAGGAAAGCAGCAAAAGTTTTTCTCCCCCAAACTCCACCAGAAATGAGTCTTTGGGACCCTGCAAGGCCTCCTGCTCCAAGAGGCTGCGCCTGGTAAAGACTCATTTCTGGTGGAGTTTGGGGGAGAGAAAGAAAGACTTCTGCTGCTTCTGCTGCTTTCCTTGCATGCAGCCAAAAGTCTCACTCTCTCTCTCTCTCTCTCTCTCTCTCTCCCTGAGAACAGAGCTGGAGACGGTATCCTGCGATCCCAAATAAAGAACAATCGATTGGTAAGAAAATGGGGTGGGGAATTTTCCTGCAGATTTTTTGGGGGGGATTTTCCCAGGGTCTCTGGCCCGTGTCATTTAAAATTACGAGTTTGGTGGTCCCTGGGGTCCAAAAGGTTGGTGACCCCTGTTCTAGCCCAACCTCCTGCTCAGGCGGGAAACCCTATCCCATTTCAGACAAATCATTGCCCAGTCTCTTCTTAATAAAGAATCATAAGATACAACCCTTAGTGATAGTCACAGGTTACTAATAAGCAATCAAATCATGCCAGGGAACAAATAAAACAATATAAATTCTAGAGACACAAGCAACCCGGTTATAGTCATAAGTGGGAAAGAGATGGGTAAGAGGAAGGATGAGAAGAATAGCAATACAGTCTTAGTAAATAGTCTGAATTTTGAAAGTGAAAGGGAAAACAGCCCTGAATTAACGCGGGGGGGAGGGGGGAGGGGTTGATTACATTCCCCCCATCCCAAATCTGAGCTGCAAAAAAATAAAATAAAAAATAAAATCAATCCAAAACCCACGAGGGAGCGATCTGTGCCTTTATTGGAGTCTGTGTGCGCGCGCGCGTGTGCTTGTGTGTGTGTGTGTGTCTGTTGTATGCATTTGTGTTTCTCCACGCATTTTCATGTTTCTACGTGCGTCCACGCGTTTCTCTTTGTGTGTGTGTGTGTGTGTGTGTGTGTGTGTGTGTGTGTGTGTTTGTGCTGCCACCCAACGCCCGCCTCTCTCTCTCTCTCTCTCTCTCTCTCTGCACATCTGCAGAACATCTGGCTGGGGTGGGGTGGAGGGAGGAAGGAGAACGAGAGAGCCGCGCGTGGGCCACCTATCGTGGGATCCTGCCAGGCTTGCACCGCCGCCCGTCTCCTCCTCCTCCTTTCGGGTCGGTGCAGAGGACTACAACTCCCATCGGCCTCGGCCGCCCCTCCTCTGGCTCCTCCTCCTGCGGGGCTCGCCTCCTCCCAGAAGCCCCGGGAGCGAGACGGGAGGCGCGGCTCTTTCCTCGTCCGCCTTTGCGCAGCGTCTCTCCCCGGGTTTAGCTGAGTGCGCAGATAGGGACTGGCCGGAGCCGCCCGGAGCTGGGAAGGCCGAGGCTGGCCGGGCAAGCGAGCCGGAGGAGGGAGCCATGGGGGCGGCCCTGAGTACGGTGAGTGGCGCGGCTTCAAGGGGCTCCAGCCGCCGCTTCTGCCTTCGCCGCCTCCGCCTTCCCCGGGCGCAGCTGGGGGAAGGCGCGGCGCAGGGGACTCCCTGCTTCAGCTCTCGCGGGGGTCGTCGGTGCAAGACCCCCAGCCCCAAAGGGTGCCCCGGGGGTCCCCTCGCCGGGGCGGAGAGAGCGGCGCCTGGTTGGAGAAGGGCGCAGAGAAGGCTCTTGCCCGCCCCGCCTTCTTTTCTCTCTCTCTCTCTCTCTCTGTGTGACACACCTCTCTCTAGGTCTCTCTCTCTCTCCCCCCCCTCTTTCTCACACACACACTTTTTCTTTCTCTGTGTATGTCTGTTAGTCTCTTTTCTCTCTCACACTTCTCTCTGTTTCTCTCTCTGTGTATCTTTTTCTCCCTGTCTCTCTCTCTCTATGTCTCTCTCTTTCGTTTTCCTCTCTGCTTCCCTACTCCTTCCTTCTCTTCCTTCCTTCCTTCCTTCCTTCCTCCCTCCCTACTTCCTTCCCATTCTCCTCTCCTTCCTTCCTTCCTGCCTTTCTCCTTCTTTTACCTTTTTCTCATATTCCCCTTTCTTCCCTGCTCCCCTCCTTCCTTCCTTCCTCTTCTTCTCCACTTCTTTCACTTTCTTCCCCTGCTTCCCTTCTCCTTCCTTCCTTCTCTTCCCCTTGTGCTCTCTCTCTTCCTCCCTTCTCCTTCTCTTCCTTCCTTCCTCTGCCTCCCTTCTTTCCTTCCCCTTCTCCTCCCTTTCCTTTCTTCCCCTCCTTCCCTTCTTCTTCCTTCCTTCTCTTGCCCTTGCTCTTTCTCCCTCCCTCCCTTCTTTCCTTCCTCTGCCTCCCTTCTCTTTCCTTCTCCTTTTCCTCCTCTCCCCTTTCTTCCCTTCTCTTCTTCCTCCCTTCCTTTTTCCTTCCTTCCTTCCCTCCCCTTTTTCTCCTTCTCCCCTTCTGACCTTCCTTCTTCATCTCCTCCTCCCCCTTCCTTCTCCTCCAGTTTGGCTTTGGGGCCGCTGGGGGCAAATGGCCCTGCCCAGCTTTGGAGAGATTGGTGTCCAACCCTTCCTTGAGGTTGAAGCTCTTGCTGGAAAGGCCTGGCTCCTTCACTCCTGCAAACTGATGGGAATGATGGCTTCCAGTCAAATCTCCTCTTTTCGGGGACCTGGAATGGTGTGGAGAAGTGACTGTCTGTGTCTGGGGTGAATTAACCACGATCTTGGTCTTTGGGCTAAGATCCAGTTTGTGCCTTAAAATATATTTATATGGATGAGGGATATATTTATTGTCGTCTTCCCAAGCTTACTCTGGAAGTGTTATGCCGTGTCTGAATCCAAGGGGGAGGAAGACAAACAGCTGAGAGGGAGTGAGAGTGTGGATCCATTGGCTGTGGAGGAAACTGGGGAAGGGCAGAATCCGCCTGGGCAGAGCAGGAAAGAGGTAGAACAAGGGAGAAGGGGTTCAGAGGAAGAAGACCCAGGCCCACCCCCTCTTCATCCTAGGGCATGCAGGGAAGAGAGCAATGGGGGTTTGGGTGGCTTATGGGGGAGGAAAGGGCCCTGATTCCCTTCATTAGCCACACCTGGAAGTGAGAGTTTAAAAGAGCTGCATGCTTATTGCAGCAGCTGCTGGAAGCAAAAGTGACTTTCTCTTGTGTTGACTTTGGTTATCTGTTCTTGGCGTCTTCCCAAACCATGTGAGTTTTGCCATGCTTTCAAGTCTGAAATTCTTGCTCCTGCCCTGCCCAACTAAACAGTTTGGCTTGTTTGGACTTTTAAGTTACAATTTTTGTTGACCATGTTTTGGACTTGATTCTCTGCAGCCAAAGGCTGTTCCTGGGGGAGTTTTTCTCCATCCAGAAGGTAACAGGGACATTGGGGGCAAAGTTGGAGCTAATAAAGGGACTCCTACTGATTATCTGACTGCGTTGCCTTCGTGCCACGCCCCTTTGGGCCATCACAGGAATAGATAGGATTTTGGCATCTTCAGCCTTTTCTCAACTGTGGCAACTTGCAAGATGGGTGGACTTCCAACTCGCAGAATTGGGGGATTCTGAGAGTTGAAGTCCACTCACCTTCAAGAGGCCAAGGTGAAGAAAACCCAACACTGACGCCATCGAAGTCCCCCTTTGCAAAGCCTGGGAAGAACGCAAAGGCCTCCACCCACAACTCTTTGCCACAAATACTCTAAACAACATTTGGGCTGTTGAGCGCAAGGAACCTTTTTTTTTTCTCTCCCACACAATGCCAGAAATAACACTTGGTGTCCTTTCTCCTGGGACTGCAGAGCCAAAGTAAAGAACATTATGTTTTCATGTTTTGATCTCGATCCTGGGACTACCAATTTCGTTTTGCTGGAAGCCTCTTAGGGCATTACAGGGTTAGGATCTCCTCTCCTCCTTTAAGTAGGTCTAATGGGATTTTATAATTGGTTAAGCGCTGGCTTTTTAACTTAACCTGAATTTTAATTAATTAAAGAAAGGAGTTAAAAGCAGCTGCCAAGGGCCACTTACGTATCCCTGCTACTTAGATTTTATTAAAATTAAAATCTCATTCCAAGCGAGCTAGAATCCAGGAAAATTAGTTTCCTAAAGCAGATTTCCAGTGCTTCCTTTCCAAAATGTGTGTGTGTGGTTTTTTTTAATGTTCTGACCAAACCTACAATCCTGTTTTCCATTTAGAACTAATTAATGGAAACTGAACCTGCTTAACTTCCAACCAACTAGTATGAGATATAATCTTTAAATTGCAAAAAAAGAAAAAAAAACAGTTATTTTTTCCTAGAAAGAGCAACAAGCTTAAATGAACAAGAAGCAATGGATGGAAACTCATCAAGAAGAGAAGCAATCTAGAACTAAGAAGAAATTTAGAACAATTAACCAGTGGAACAGCTGGCCTCTAGAAGCGGGTGCTTCATCAGTGGAGATTTTTAAGAAGAGACTGGACAGCAATTTGTCAGGGGTCTTCAAACTTGACCGCTTTAAGACTTGTGGACTTCAACTCCCAGAATTCCCCCTCCAGTCTTGTTAGCTCAGGAATTCTGGGAGTTGAAGTCCACAAGTCTTAAACTTGCCAAGTTTGAAGGTCCTTGATATAGGTTCTCCTGCTTGAGCAGAGGGTGGACAAGAACACCTCCAAGGTCCCTTCCAACTCTGTTATATTCTGCTCTAAATTTTTGCACTTTATCCTATTGTGTACAGTAGGGTATCGGAAGCAAGATAGTCTCTAAAAATAAGCCAGCACCCAGAATTGCTCTGTAGATTTTAGCTGTAGATGCAATTAGGATTAGCTGTAGATGCATTAGGATTGCTAATGCAATCCTAAATTGTATTAACAGGGATACAGTCAAGATCAAGGGAAGTACTAATACCAATCTATAAGACCACACCTAGAGTACTACATCCAATTTTGGTCACCACATTATAAAAAAGATGTTGAGACTCTAGAAAAAGTACAGAGAAGAGCAACCAGGATGCTTAGAGGACTGAAGAACGGTTGCAGGAACTGGACTTGGGTAGTCTAGTAAAGAGAAGGACCAGGGAAGACATGATAGCGGTCTTCCAATATTTGAGGGGGTGCTATAGAGAGGAAGGGGTCAAGCTATTTCCCAAAGCACCTGAAGGCCAGACAAGGAATAGTGGATGGAAACTGAACAAGGAGAGATTTAACCTGGAAATAAGGAGAAACTTTCTGACAGTGAGAACAATCAACCAATGGAACATCTTCCCCTCGGAAGCTGTGAGAGCGACATCACTTGAGACTTTCAAGAAGAGATTGGACTGCCATTTGTCAGAAATGGTATAGGGTCTCCCGCTTGGGTGGGGGGTTGGACTAGATGACCTACAAGGTCCCTTCCAACTCTGATTATCTGTATCTGTAGAGATGTGTCTAGGGTTTATCTGGGCTGGCTGACCTCAAGAAGCAAGATTTACTTTTTCTTATTTGGTGACGCCTTTAATTTAATTCACATGCTTCACTTGGCTTTACGGTGCCAGGCAAAATGCATCTCTGCAGGCTTTCCCAAAGGTCACAGATATTTCCAGAGAGATGTTCCACTTGTGATATTTTGACGGATCTATGGTGCATTTTCCACAGTCTTAATAGGGATGTTTATGACCTGGATATATTTGAAATTCCAGCTTCCCTAGTAAATTTCCATCGAAGTCTGCTGTCAGAAATTCCAAGAATGTTTAGTGAATTTCACTAGATGCTCCTTGGGTGAGACTGTTGAAGTTGTCTTGAACTTAGTGCTGTCCACCTATTTTCATCTTACTAATCAAAATAATTTAATTGCTACCTATTCTGTTACCTAACATAGCATATAATTAATGAACTATTGCTCATTACTGACTAATAATCAATTAATCTCATTTCAAAGTCTCATACCTTCACACCATCGTCCAGTAATGCCAAAAGTACCTAAGGATCTGTATACGGTATTCCCCCAAAAGTGATAAATTGAGACAATTGACATCGGTTGTGGGAATTGACAACTTGCTTTCTGAAGTACTGGGAGCTTCATTGTCAGAGGCTTTCAAGAAGAGATTGGACGGCCCTTTGTCAGAAATGATGTAGGGTCTCCTGCTTGAGTGGGAGGTTGGACTAGATGACCTACAAGGCCCCTTCTGACTCTGTCAATCTAATATAAATTATAATATAAATTACAAGAATTATCCAGATTGCTTAGGATTGTGTGAGTCAGGACAACTTGAATTGTCTCGAGTTCCTTTGCAATCTGGATCAGAGAAAGTTACTTGTGGAATGGACTAACGTGAAGAACACAAAATGCATTTATTAAATCTCCATTCTGCATTTCCATGCAGCTGTGTTCAACCCACAGTGAATCCACGCAACCCAGAATTATAGGATAAACAGGCCTTTCTCTTGCTAAATCTCTTTTGCTAAGTGTTGGAATGATGTCAGAGCAGAAATGCTTGATCCAGATCGGTGTTTCTCAACCTTGTTAGTGTTCAGACATGTGGACTTCACCTCCCAGAATTCCCC